CTAACTCACTGGGGCATATCCTAGGCTTTCTTAGGTTCCCAATCTCACCCTGCCATCAGTTGCTGAGGAACTCCTAATGATGCCAGCCATCCACCTCCTGGATATCGTCATATCCACTTAGTGGCTGACTCCCATCACTCAAGAGTTCCACAAAGCACAAAGCAAGCAGCATTCGTGCAGTTTCACTCCGACCCAAAGAACTGCCATAAAACATTCAGTCCACATATCGCAGCTCACGCTATCCACATCCATCAATCCTCACTGTCGGCTGCCTTATGCATGCAAATTATACACAGAACAAGATCCAATAGACTATCGAATAATAGACTCTACCCTAGGACCACAACCAAACAAGGAACAGGAAATAAGGCCAAATCAATTATTCTAAGGCTATAAGATCCTAACCGTATACAATTTTAAAAGCATACACATAGCAGTTAAAAATACCAATTATCATTCTCATTCCAGCATGGCATCCAATATTCTCGCGGCTACAAGCATCACATATCATGCCAACCTATTGCTGACTACTCAGCACTAGCATGAAAGTCTACCAGCTCATACATCATACACATGCATCTCCCCTAGCCCTAACTAGCATGCGATTCACAGATTCATAATCAAATCATAACAAACAACACATGTGGTATTCTGGGAAACTTACTTGAGCTCGGTTGATTGCATGCACCACACCCTTTCTTGTCTTATAAATTCTTTACTTAAAACATTTTTCTTTTGAAAACTTTACAGATCCTCAGTTTGAGTTCAGGCACACCCGAAAGTACGTCTGAATCCCTCAAATCAAGGCTTTGATACCAACTTGTAACGACCAAAAAATCAAGGGTAAAAATTTCATTTTTAATATGGCTAGAACATTGATACCATTTATTTCAAACATTCCAAATCGTCATTAAGTAATATAATTATCATAGTTCGTCCCAAAACCATTCATTGCGGAAATCATAGGTGTGTGCACTGCGATCAGTCCGAGCCCTTCATTTCCAAATCGATGCAACCTGAAACCAAAACTGTAAACCGTAAGCACAAAGCTTAGTGAGTCCCCCAGAGCATAACCAACCCATAATCCACATAACACATATCGTATTAGCTGTAAAAAGCTATCTCTACCGTTATCACATATCAACCAGCTATCAAAGATACTCTACCACGTATCACATATAAAATAGTTATAAAAGCTCTCTCTACCATTAGCACATATCAATTAGCTATAAAAGCTACTGTTGCCACATATCACATATCAAATAACTATAAAAGCTATCTCTACCATTGGCACATATCAATTAGCTATACAAGCTATCTCTACTGTTAGCCACAAAGGATATCTCTACCATTAGCCATAAGGCTATCTCTACCATCAGCCATAAGGCTGTCTCTACCATTAGCCACAAAGGCTATCTCTACCGCATATCACGCATACATACATATCACAAACCTCTACATAGCAAGTATACCAACGATCATAAAATGGGCCGGCCTTGGTGCCTTAGACCCATTGGTATGGTGAGAAAACTCACCTCTCGACTGCTGAACTGATAAGCTGAAATCAGACATATCCCACGCGCTACTCCTTCTCAACTGCCCATAATCATCAGGTGATTAGCTTAACACAATCCCATAAATACCCTCAGGTCAACTCTGGTCAAAGTCTATGTCTGTAGTCAAGGTCAACAGTCCATATTGACCTTGACTCGTCGAGTGCAATTAGCCACTCGTCGGGTTCCTTGCTTAACTCGTCAACTCGCCGAGTCACCCGAGAGACTCGTCGAGTTCCTTGATGTTTACGGTCGTAAACTCCCAACTGTACACTCTTGACCGTGAACCCTTGGCCGTAAACCTTTGGCCGACTCCTTAGCCGTAAACCCTTCAGCCGACTCGCCGAGTCGATTAAAGAACTCGACGAGTCCATTTAGTCCTACTCATTTTCGGCCTTTATAGAGGAAACCAAAGCTCCAAATCATAGATCCTACCACTTATGGTGTAGTTACCACGTAAAGTTGCAAACTTTACGTGCTATGCAAGGCATCCAAGGCTAGAAACACTTAATAAAAGCTTGACAAGGGACTTAGAGCATAAAGAGGGTCAAGACTTGGTAAAGTTGGCAACTTTAAGTCGCCAAAGGCCCTGAGATATCTAGATCTAAAGCCATATGCTCATAACAAGCTCAAATCCAAGAATGATCCCAATCCATGCTAATAATGGCCATAAACTTCCATAGAAGGAAATCTAAGCAATGAAAAGCCAAGGTTTCGACTTTATACCTCAAATTAGCTGCAACACTGGAGGAAATCCCGGATCTACTGCCTTCCATTTAGTACAACCTCTTCAAGCTTCAAGTTCCTTCCAAAAGAGCACCAAGAATCACTCTCCAAGCTCACACACACACTTAAAGAGAGGGAGGGCACAAACTAGGGTTTCTATGGACAAAGGGGGAAATAAGGGAGGCTGCAAATGATACATAAGTCCTTTAAATAGGGTACCAAGCCCTAAAATGTGGGGTTTCCTTTACAGCGCCTACTTGCCGAGTCGGATCCTTCCGACTCGTCGAGTAGGGTCGAAATCCCGCGATCCTTTAAATGACTCTACTCGTCGAGTTGGAGCTCCCAACTCGTCGAGTCCTGGCACCAAAACCCTAAAAATTTGCATCCATTAAGCAATTCCTGGAATAGGTGTTACAATATTCCCTTACAAAAATAAGAATTTTCATAGAACAGTTGAACCCGTGATGATGCCTACTTGCAGTTTAAATGATGATATTCCTGAAATACCCTTTGAAATAAATCATCAAATTTTTATTCCTACTGATGATTATGATCCAGACAATTTTGATGTTACAAATGAAGTTGAAATACCATACAATCATCAATCAGATAACTCCCAGGAAAATTTTCTTCCAATAATGAAACTACTTCAGAAGAAGAAGTTGATCAGCATAATGTTCCTTTACGAGCATCTACAAAAATTTCAAAAAGATCATCATGGTATGATGATTATATAATGCATTGTAGTAGTTCTTCAGTTCCTCTAAAAAAATCCACATACACTTCTTCTCATACACCACCTACTTACCCATATGTTGAGTCACCAATTTTAACCACAACTCACAAAAGCTTTCTATGTTCAGTCTCAAAAATTACTAAACCAAAAAGCTATGAAGAAGCATCAACTGAACATGAATGGGTAGAGGCAATGAATAAAGAGCTTGATGCTTTGAAAGAAAATAATACTTGGACGATTATGTCCTTACCACCTGATAAAAAACCCATTGGTTCAAAGTGGGTATACAAAGTAAAATTGAAACCTGATGGAACTGTGGAAAGGTTTAAAGCAATATTGGTTGCAAAGGGATACAATCAAACTTATGGAATTGATTATTTGGATAGTTTTTCTCCTGTGGCAAAGGTAGTAACAGTAAGGGTATTACTGTCATTATCTACGTTAAATGGTTGGTTTCTACACCAACTTGATATAAATAATGCATTTTTGCATGGATTTCTGGATGAAGAGGTCTATCTAACTCCTCCATAGGGTTATTCAAAGGCTAAGAAAGGAGAAGTATGTAAGCTGAATAAATCTCTATATGGGTTAAATCATATAGAGTTCTGTAATAAATTGATCAACTTTGGGTTAAAACAATCGTCTCATGATCATTGTTTATTCACAAAAGGAGAAGGAATTGATTTTCTTGCACTAGTTGTATATGTGGATGATGTTTTAATAACTGGACCAAATGCAAGTAAAATACAAGAAGTTAAAGACCAATTGCATGCAGCTTTTACAATAAAGGATTTGGGATAAGCAAGTTATTTCCTTGGAGTAGAATTGTTAAAAACAGAAGAAGGACTTTATGTTAATCAAAGAAAATATATAATGGGTATATTGAATGATACTGGTATGACTGGAGTCAAACCTACAAAAACACATGTTATGAAAAACTTGCAATTGTGTTCAGATAAAGGAAAAGCACTATAAGAACCAGAAAAATACAGAAGGTTAATTGGAAGATTGTTATATCTAAATTTTACAAGACCATACATCAGTTATGCAGTACAACAACTGAGTCAATTTCTTCATTCACCAACTGATATCCATTGGCAAGCTGCTTTATATGTGTTAAAATACCTTAAAGGTTGTCCTTCTAAGGGTTTATTTTTTCCAAAGGATTCATCACCTTTAACCATTACTGCTTATAGTGATTCAGACTGGGCATTATGTACTGATACTAGAAGATCATTATTTGGATATTGCATATTTCTTGGATCTTCACTTGTATCTTGGAAGACAAAGAAGCAGAAGACAGTTTCGAGATCATCTTGTGAAGCTGAGTATAGAAGCTTAGCTGCAACTGTTTGTGAGATTTTATGGATAAGTTACATCCTAAGAGATTTGAAAGTAAAATTGAAAATTCTTGTATCTCTTTGGTGTGATAACAAATCAGCTATACATATCACTGAAAATCCAATCTTCCATGAACGAACTAAGCATTTTGACATTGATTTTCATCTAGTTCGAGATCAATTCAAACTTGGTTTTGTTATGCCTCGACACATACCAACTAATCAACAACTCGCTGATATCTTTACAAAAGGACTTTGTAGTCAGCAATTTCAATATCTTCTTTCCAAGATGAACCTCAATGATATTCATCAATGTCCATCTTGAGGGGAGGATGTGAAATTATAAAGTCAAAGTTACTAGAGGGGCACATTTGTAAATATGTATAGTTAGAGGTAGCTATGTGTAAATACTTAGAGTTAGATTCATCTTTGTATAAACTCGGTTGATGAGTTCTAATGGCATATGACGAACAGATTATCATCTCATATTACTTTCTCTCTCTAAATTCTTGTATCAATGTTGAAACACTTGTCATAGTGGATTGACATAAGTGTCGGCATGTGACATAGGTGTAGTAGTGATTTGGCTAATTGGCTTCCCCTTTTAACACTATATTTCCCATCTAACGTTTCATAGATTCCTCTTCAACCAATTGAATCGGAGGTGTCGGGCGCTTGAGAGGTAGTCATTGCTCCTGCTTTGTGTTTTACAACCTCGGCAAAAGATCTTCCATCTCTAGTATTTTTGGCATGGTATGAAGCATTAGAGAAGGTAGGTGGTGGTTTTCTTACCGGGATTGGTTTAGGTTGAGCCTCCTTTCTTTTGTGCTTCTCTACATTAATCTCCAGCATACTGTTCCTGCACTTCGTTCCGTTTAGTTGTTGTTCCAGTGCCCTCACGTTTGGAACATCAACAAATCTTATGAAACCGAAATTTTTCCCGTTCTTACCCTTCTTCTCGCCAAAGTATATGTCAATCAACTTCCCGAATGGTGAGAATAATTCATGCACCCACCCATATTGTTCACCTATCACATGGGAAAAGGGAAAAGGACCACAAGATCACGGAAGGAAGGCCACAGAGGAAATGCCTCCACCACTATCTGATGTCAGCCAATAGAACAGCTGAGGGGCATTTTGGGAATTAGTATTTCACGTGTTATGCTAGTATTAATAGTAGAGAGAATGGGAGAGGAGAAGTAGGCAAATAGAAGTTAGTCTTTCAGGAGAGAGTAGCATCTCGAATAGCTACAGATTATCCCTTGTTATCTTGTAATTACTCTGTTATTTCAATCAATCCATACATCCCACCTCTGAGGCATTTTCGTATCTGTCTTCTCTGTGTTATCTTATCTAGTCCATTACAAAATTGGTATCCGAGAAGTTCGATCATGCCTGGAGGAGCTCCACTCAAACGGGTAGAATCCTTAGAGAAAGAGCTAGGGCATTTGAATGATAGGCTGGAGACTCAAGGGCACCAGATTCAGTTCCAGGGCGACTCCATTGTGTCAATGCAGTTGAAGATGGACCAGAAAATTGAAGAAGTTTTGAAGGCTATAGCCAAGGGAAAGAATCCAGCAGAAGAGAGCAAGGAGGATGAATTGTTATCCTCGGGGATAGAGACGCCAAGAGGAACAGGGACTGGAAGTAGCCACGATGGAGGAGGCGGTGGAGGCCGAGGAATGGGTGAACCAGGGGGAGGACTCAACTGGCGATTTCGGAAACTCGATATGCCACTCTTTGACGGGGAACACCCCGATGGTTGGATCTTGCGAGTCGAACGCTACTTCAATTTTTACAAGCTCTCCGAAGCGGACAAAATGGAGGCGGCGGTGGTGGCCCTAGAAGGCGACGCCCTTCTATGGTTCCAATTGGAACACACGCAACGACCGGTGACTCGATGGCAGGAGATGAAGTCGCTTCTTCTGCGCCAGTTCCGTCCGGTTAACGCATGTACGTTACATCAACAATGGCTCGCTTTAACTCAATCTGGGTCGGTTTTGGAGTACCACTGGTCTTTCATCGAATTACTTGCCCCTTATGGGCCAATTCATCAATGGGCTGAAGGATGAGATTAGGTCAGAAGTTCAATTACTGAGCCCAATTTCGGTGGAACACGCTATGACTTTAGCGATTAAGGTAGAACAAAAGCTCCACTCCCAGTCGAATCAAAAAAACCCAAGCACCACAGTTATCCGTCGGACTAACACCTCGGGAACACCATTGATTACACCTCTCAATACCACCTCCTTCACCCCACGAGTTCCATAAATACAAAACCCTAGCTCCACTACGGGAAACACTGCATACAAAAAAATGGTGGGGAAGTGAGAAGACTATCAGACAAGGAGTGGCAACACAAAAGAGAGAAAGGCTTATGTTTTAAGTGTGATGAAAAGTGGAATGTAGGACATCGTTGCCGTCGAAGGGAGCTGAGTGTGCTCATAACTCGAGAAGAAGGAGACAGCGAAGGGGAACAGGAAGAGGATCCCTTGCACGAGACACCACCAGAGGCGCCAGAGACAGCTACTCTCTCTGGTATATGCCTTAATTTGGTTCTAGGGAAGTCCAATCCGAAAACGCTTAAGTTGAAAGGAGAAATGGGAGGGCAGGAAATGATAGTTATGATAGACCCGGGAGCCACACACAACTTTTTATCCCTACAGTTGGTATCCCAATTGGAGCTACTGGTCACACCCACCCCAGGCTTTGGGGTATTTCCGAGAACATGAGAATCAGCCAAGGGAACAGGGAAATGCCAAAGAGTAGTTCTGCAACTACAAGGGATAACAGTTGTTGAGGAGTTCCTACCCTTAACCCTCAGGAGTGCGGATGTCATACTTGGAGTTCAATGGCTTGAGAAGCTAGGTCCAGTCACTACCAATTGGAAAACACGTGTCACACCCCCGAACCAGACGGCGGAAACGTCTGGGGGCTTGGGTGACTTCATTCTTGTAGTATCATCACAGAGTATATAATTGAAACATAACATCATCATCATCACACGTGTAATATTACAACTGTCATTGGTTTACATCGAGTATTGTATTTCAATATTACATGCCAAAACAAAACATAACAAAATATCCATGAATTCTTTCTGCCCAACCTGCTCAACGGTTTCCTGAGAATACAAGTTAATTTAAAAGGTCAACATAAAAATTTTGGTGAGTTCATAATCATGTTTGAGAAAATGGTTTGTATAACTTTGTAAAAACCAGAAAATCCGATATTTTCTTAAAACAGTTTAGTATGTTTGTGTCCAATCTTGTATTAATGCATATGTGTTATTGTTTACTAGAATGCAAAAAGAGAATGTAAAGAGAATGCCCCCAGACAACTCGATGTTGTCTGTGAAAGAGAATGTTGGTATAACAACCCCCGAGGTTGAGTACCGGCGCGAGTAAGTTACCGAGTAATCCAAAGAGAAAAGAGAATGGTTTTCCCGTAAATTTTATAACCATAATTCTTCTAAGTGAGTCGTTATAACCATACTAGATAATGACAATTTCGCCTGTCATGGCGTTGTTGGACGCCGACGGAATAGAATAAGGTTTTTGTCACCCTAGACTGGCCTAGTCTAACTGTAGCGAACAACTCAGGTGTGGGGTGTCACCCCCGTATAGATCTATACACAAACCCCCGCTCTCCCTCCAAGTGACTTTGGTTATAACTACAGGCTACGATCGTACACTCAATAGGTGTCAACCGACACGTCTCACTAGATCCTTAATCAAATTTACGCGAAAAGAGAAAGAAAAACATATAAGGTATATTCCAGGCCCAATAAACATGTAAGTGGACAACTAAGGCCCACTAAACATGTATATTATTTCCAGACTCAAAATGAATGAGAATGTATATCCCGGGCCCAATATACATGTAAAAGGACAACTAAGGCCCACTAAGCATGTAAAAGGACACTAAGGCCCACTAAACATGCAAAATGACACTAAGGCCCACTAAACATGCAAAAGGAAACTAAGGCCCACTAAGCATGTAAAAGGACACTAAGGCCCACTAAACATGCAAAAGGACACTAAGGCCCACTAAGCATGTAAAAGGACACTAAGGCCCACTAAACATGTGAATTAATTTTCCAAGCCCAATAAAGGAAAGAATATATATTTATATATTAAATACATATAAGTTGATATGTCTAGATGTTTTGAAAGTATAGATAAGTTATACAAACTTGCGTCTAACACAGGTATAAGAGCTTTTAGCATGATAAAAATAATTTATTGTTTTTGACCTTTCTGTCCCTGTTTTTAGAAAAATTATAGAAAAATCATCGTAAGTCGAAATTCGGATCCGTAAACTCTGAGAGTTTGGAAAATGAGTCTAATTTATTCATAATTTTTATTAAGATTTGTAATGGCCTCAAACCAGTGTGAAAATGTTCATCTTCACAGACTGGTCCGAAATCATTCCTGAAATGATAGGCAGTTTTGTAAAAATTGCCAAAAATTGTATAAAAATCGTACGAATGCGTGAGAGTAGTCATTTTAAAGGTATAAACCTGAAAGTTTTGCATGTAAAACATTTTTGAAAAATATTAAAATTAAGTTGGTCAAAACAGCCCGTAATTAGTCCAAAACGTTTCTATTAAAAGCTGATTTTTGAGTTTAGGTTATAGATGTTTGAACACAACACTTGTTTTTGCTATTTTGAGTGTAAAATCTCATATCTACAAGTTTACATGTAATATATAAGACAACACATACTTTTCTCATGGTTTTTATGAAGATTTAAGTGATAAACTTCATGTTCAAGTAAAGATCCAAAAGTTAAACACATAACACAACATATAACATGAAAAACACACATAATCATGCATATACACATAGATCTACACAAAACAACTTGTATTCTCCCCCAAAACATAGTAAAACTCGAAAATAGGGGGTATGAACTCACATTGGGGTTGATGGGTCGGTTTTTGATGAAGAATGAGGAAGATTTCGGCCCTAGCAAGCTTTCTTGAGTAGATCTCGAGCTTATGTGGATTCTAGAAGCATAAACACAAGATTTGAGATGTTTTGAGGAAGATCTAAACATAATATGGATTTATCCCACTTAAGAGTGAAGTATCTTACCTAGTGTGTGAATTGGAAGCACCTTCTTGAGCACACACACCCACTCACGGGTTTATGGAAGAAGATGGAGGAATTCTTGAGGGTTTGGAAGTGAGATGAAGTTTGAATGATCTTGGTGAGGAAGAATGGCCTTAGGCTGAGAATAAGAAGAGAGAAAGAGAGAAGAGAGAGGATGAGATGTGATGGTTACATTGGAACATGATATTCCTAGATGTATGTCGGACAAAAGCATGGATAACCACCATGTAAAAATGAGGTGTCAAGTCTTGATCTTATCCTTTTTTTGTGTGTGTAAAACCGAGAATTAGAGATGAGAGGGAAAAGAAAGGAATTGTTTGGGCCATTATGAGTATATTCGAAATTCATAAGCCCAAAGTAAAGGTTTTCGGCCCATTGGGCCCTTCTTATGGGTTTACGGCCCTAGAAAAATGGGTTTACGGCCCAATGATGTTCAAGTAAGTTGTTTACGGCCCATGAAGGCCCGTGAGAAAGAAGTGGGTCATTCTAGGCCCATTAAAGCCCAAATGCTATAACTTAATGAATGTAGGTTCAATTAGGGTCCAAATGAAGACTCTTAGCTTAAAAGAATCAAGTTGAGAGTTTATTGGTCCATTAGGCCCAATAAATGATTCCTAGCCCAATAGGGATTTGAGCTGGGAAATTAGGGTTTCAACCCACAGTTGAGTATATGAGATGTATTGAATTAGGTTCTTGAACTTCACGAGTGAGTTTTGATTCAAATGGTTGATTTTGAATGAGCATAGTACTTGACATTAGCTTAGATTACAAGTTATACAAGAGTTGATCTTTACATGAAGACAAAATTTCCTAGCTAAAAAGGCTAGTTGTGACAACACAAGTGGTGAAGTTTCAAGTTAATGGGCAGACGGTAACGCTTAGAGGGGACCCGACCCTAGAACGAGCTCAAGTCTCGCTAAAAACCATGACGAGGACACTGTGTACCAGCGGAGGGGGTTACTAGATCCAACTTAATCAGGTGGAAAAGACCTTGGGGTTCCAACCCTTACCCCAAGCCCTAGAATATCTCCAGGGGGTGCTAGAGAAGTATTCTAGAGTGTTCGAATGGCATAACGGCCTGCCCCCGAACGAGAGCAACAATATACCATATGTCTTAAAGAAGGAACTGAACCTGTGTCGGTCCGCCCCTACCGGTACTCCCATTCTCAGAAGGCCGAAATCGAGAAACTTTTGGGTGAAATGTTGAAAGTCGGGATCATCCAGTTGTCTCAAAGCCCGTTTTCCAGCCCAGTGCTGCTGGTCAAAAAGAAAGATGGTTCTTGGTGGTTTTGCGTGGATTAGCGCAACCTCAATAAGGTCACCGTCAAGGACAAATTCCCAATTCCCGTAATCGATGAACTATTAGATGAACTCCACGGATCCACTGTGTTCTCCAAGTTGGATCTTAAATCCGGGTACCATCAAATCCGAATGCGGGAGGAAGACATACCCAAAACTGCTTTTAGAACTCACGAGGGTCACTACGAATTTCTAGTGATGCCTTTCGGCCTTACTAATGCTCCCGCTACCTTCCAGTCCTTGATGAATGTGGTATTTCGTCCCTTCCTTAGGAAGTTTATGTTGGTGTTATTCGACGATATCTTAGTTGTGACATCCCCATTTTCACGGCCAGAAAAAGACCGATTTTGTTTATGCTTTATAAAAATCAGAGTATCTCTTTTAATAAAAATGTTGTGGAATTTTTTCCCAGTAAAACATTATAAATACATTATCAAGGCATTTCCGAAGAAAAGTATTTTTATTCGTTTTAAAACATTTGGGATGTCATCGTCAATGCAGAAACATAAGCATAAACAGAATTTACATTCATTATCACTAGTGATTTATATCTCCTTAATCTCTCAGTGTAATGTAACTTCATATCAACACCTGTGATATAAATAAACTGAGTGGGTCAGGTTGGGAAACCTGGTGAGTACATAGGGTTTTCAACC